GCTCATTGAAGATTATCTCCCAGAATGCCTTAATTTTCTTGCATGTTCTCTAGTTTAGACAACCTGTCCCCTAAAGAAAAAACTCCACGGCTTCTCTTGCAAATGCTTATTGCCCAACTCTTGTTGGTGGCTCGGCGGGTCGGGAACTTGGCAAGCTCCGAAGGGGTGTGCTATTTTATGAGTCAGCAGCCAGTGTGTGTGGAGAGGGCTGTGGGTGGGTGTGCCATGGCCAACACACCTCTATTCTCTCTGTCTCTAGCAAAGCAAATTGCTGATCAGAGCCCTTCTCTGATGCTTCTCCTCTGGTTCAAAGCCTGCGCAGCCCTTGGCACAGGCTCTCCGAGTTATCTTTATGGGCCTTGACCTTCGGCCGACGTGGAAGAACAGTCCCACCAGCTCTCGCCCCCAAACCCTAATCCTCGCTGTCTCAAATTCCAACTCCATTCCCTGTGGAGCAGATGTTTTGCTTCTTGAGGGGGAATAGGGGCAATGTTCTGCGAGGGACGGTCTGTGGCTCAGAGGCAAATCATCTTCTTTGCTTGCAGAAGGTCATGGGTTCAATCCCACACCCCCCCATGGCATCTCAAGGTAGGGGTGGGAGGAACCCCTGCCTGAAATCCTGGAGATCAACAAACCCCTGTGTTGCAAACTTCGCACAACAAACAATACAGGCAACACGAAGACCAGTTTACTAGACAGCACTGCAATTCTTATTGCATAATATACATGATTTAGTACAACAAAACCAAAATATGTACACTTGTGAATACTCTAATATATTTGAAAGCGAATGAACACACGTCTGTCAGTCTTTGAAAGTATAATAAGTCTATGGCTGAAACAAAGAAATAGATGCTATCCTGTGGGCTAAGCAGTAAAACATTTTTTAGGTGTTCATGGTGCCGAAGTAGTAAGTGAAGAACAACGTAGGAAAGTGATCCCGGATAATCTGACTGTTTCGCTGGAATCTGTTGCCTATATTGTTTGCTGAAATCCTGGAGAGAGCTGTTGAAAGTCAGTGTACTGGGCTAGATGGGAGCAATGGTCTGACATGGTACAGTGATACCTTCACGGCCATCTTTACCTGGAGGTGCAAAGGGTGTGGGGCACCCGGGCACTGAATTCTGGAGGCGGCTTCAGCCGAAATCCTCCGCTGAAGCTGCCTAAGCTCTTAACTATCTACCTGTTATGAAATAATAAATTTTGATCAAACTAGAAAAACAAAATACATCTATACAGTGGTGCCTCACAAGACAAAATTAATCCGTTCCGCGAGTCTCTTCGTCTTGCGGTTTTTTCGTCTTGCGAAGCACGGCTATTAGCGGCTTAGCGGCTTAGCGGCTATTAACGGCTTAGCGGCTTAGCGGCTATTAACGGCTTAGCGGCTTAGCGGCTATTAACGGCTTAGCGGCTTAGTGGCTATTAACGGCTTAGCGGCTTTAAGAAAAAGGAAACAAACTCGCAAGAACTCGCAAGACGTTCTGTCTTGCGAAGCAAGTCCATAGGGAAATTCGTCTTGCGGAACGACTCAAAAAACGGAAAACTCTTTCGTCTTGCGCGTTTTTCGTCTTGCGAGGCATTCGTCTTGCGAGGTACCGCTGTACCTAGGTATTACCGAAATGCGTACCTACTGTTTGACTAAAGGACTTTTGACTTTGTGCGCTCAATTACCAAAGACGCACTGCGCCAGCGGCGGCGCTTGTCATTCACAACGGCGGTGCTTGTCAGACTCAACAATGGCGCTTGTCATTCTCAACGGTGCCATGCACGTGAAATTAATTCTTACAAAATATTATGTTACGTATTGTATTGAGCTGCTGTGAGGCAGCGGGGTGAGGCAGCGGAACCTTTGACATGACTGATATTTCTCCTAAGTAGGTGCCTAAACAATACTTATAAATTTAAGTGTGGTGGTGTTGCATACTTAAGCATAAGTGTATTGTAAAGAAATGAGCAAATAAAAAAGTTTCTTTCTTTTTCCTCCCTTCTTTCGTAAACGAGAGATAAGGCGTAAGCGTGGTGTCTGACATAAGCATAATAAAATTTAATTTGGGGGCGCTGGGCATATCTTTGTACCCTGATGGCACATATGCTAAAGACAGTGCTGGGTACCTTGGTTCTTAAACGTAATCCGTTCCGCAAGTCCGTTCCAAAACCAAAGCGTTCCAAAACCAAGGTGTGCTTTCCCATAGAAAATAATGCAAAATGGATTAATCCGTTCCAGACTTTTAAAAACAACCCCTTAAACAGCAATTTAACATGAATTTTACTATCAACGAGACCATTGATCCATAAAATGAAAGCAATAATCGATGTAAAAAATGTAAAGGACCCCTGACAGTTAAATCCAGTCGCAAATGGCTGTGGGGTTGTGGCGCTCATCTTACTATGGATATAAGATATTGGGTATGTGATATTAACTTTCTTCAAACTTTAATAACAACTATGGAAAATAAAAAATAGTGAGCGTTCCAGCAGAAACCAAGTGATATTTCTTTATTGAATTAATATACCACCAAATACTATCATTTTTAGTGGAATTCAGCGTGCATATCAGGGGGAAATGTGCGTAAATTTGCATATATTTATGAAAATGCCAAAAAAAATGCACCGCAATAGGGGAAATTGCTTGCATAATTGCGTATATTACAGAAAGCTGCATGCAAAAATGTACGTAGGGAGAGGAATCTGCACTAAAATACAGATGATTTTTATGAGGGCTTTTCTTTAAAAAGGGGGGGGGGAATCACAAAGTGATGTGGAGAAATGAAATTACGGTTGCAAAGAATGAAGAGCATCCTTCCACAATGGCTAACTGATTTTTTGTGTGTGTTTTTTGTCGCAGGGTGTTATTATTTTTTACTGCTGTAAAGCTGTGTAGAAATATTTTCATAAATGAATCACATAAACAAACACATGAAGAGAAACATTTAATGATGATGATGATGTAAAGAAGGACATTGCCTCGCCTCAAGGCACCTTCATGCTTCCATATTTCTTCAAGAGCTGTCTGTAACAACCTGGGAATCCAGAAGAGACCAAGGCACAGCCTTGTGTTGCATGTCGAGACCCCACACTCACCCCCTCGTTGGGAAATAACTCACACAAGGACACGGATATTGTTGTTTAGTCGTTTAGTCGTGTCCGACTCTTCGTGACCCCCTGGACCAGAGCACGCCAGGCACTCCTGTCTTCCACTGCCTCCCGCAGTATGGTCAAACTCATGCTGGTAGCTTCGAGAACACTATCCAACCATCTCGTCCTCTGTCGTCCCCTTCTTCTTGTGCCCTCCATCTTTCCCAGCATCAGGATCTTTTCCATGGAGTCTTCTCTTCTCATGAGGTGGCCAAAGTCTTGGAGCCTCAGCTTTAGGATCTGTCCTTCCAGTGAGCACTCAGGGCTGATTTCCTTCAGAATGGATACGTTTGATCTTCTTGCAGTCCATGGGACTCTCCAGAGTCTCCTCCAGCACCCTAATTCAAAAGCATCCATTCTTCGGCGATCAACCTTCTTTATGGTCCAGCTCTCACTTCCATACATCACTACTGGGAAAACCATAGCTTTAACTATACGGACCTTACACGGATATTAGGTTTATGTTATTGGGCAATTTTGGCCACAACTTTATTGAATTACAGAATGTGAGCGGTATTGGCTTAGGCATTGAATGGACCAGACTATATCTGACTCCTGCCCGGTGTGCAGGAAGTCCTGTAAGGGTAAACCACCGGAAGGGGGAGCCCTGTCAATGCGTACCAACTCTAGCTCCCCCTGGTGTTCCCATCGGGTTTGTGTCATGGCCCTAGCCCCCGACCGGGCTTCAGACAAGATCAACACACCCGGATTCCTTTAACGGAATACATGGAGGGGCAAGTGATGGCCACACCTCCCCTCCCCCATCACAAGGTCAAACAATGCCTAACCGCAACCCTAACAAAGTTGTGACAACTGCTATGAGGTAGGCGAAAACCAAATGGCCAGTGCCAATTTGCCAAGTGGAAAAATTCCTACCAGGCCCCTCAGACAACCAAGGCGACCAACCGAGGTCCATAGCAAGGCCAGTGCCTAACCTGCAAAATACAAAGGGAGGGAGTGTGATTGAGGAAGTGAGCTAAAGAGGAAGTCCTCTGGCTCGCTCCTCGGTTTAAATGGTCCCGGCCACGCCCCCCTGCTCTGACGTGGCCGGGATCCCCTGGATTTGCCCACATCTCAGGAGCTTCCCAGCTTTACTGCTGCTCCATGAAGGAGTCCCAAGCCATTTATCTCCCCATGCCACCCCATCCTATCACTTCCCTTCCCTTCTCACCCTTCCACCTCCTCTTTCCCAGATCCCTCAGATGGGCACAGAGTCTTTCTTCCCAAAGCCCTTGATGTCCCAGCCAAGCACCCCAGCAGGCACCAAATTGGCGCAGCTCTCTGGGTGGCAGGCTGCCAACTGCTCCCAGCCTTGCTTCTCCTCCTCCTCTCTTTGCTTTCTTTTCTCAAGCACCTCAACTTTCCCAAACGCCGAGAGAGCGATGCCAGGACCCCACCCAGGCTGAAGGGGGGGAACGGGAGCAGGATGGGCCGGTTCTGTTGCCAGAAGAAAGGAGAACTGGCCAAGGCTTCATCTGATCTGAGTTGACCTCCTGGAGCTGTCCTCGGAGAACCCAAGGCTGTGTTTGGAAGGTGCAGCTTCCCTTTGGGAGGTTAAACAAGGATTGCTAGGGGAGACCTGTCAAGTGGTGTTTGTCGCCCTCATCTCGCTAGATGGCAACATGGCTGTCCTCCTTCAGCTTCTAATCTTGATCGGATGCCAACTTTAGGAAGGCAAGCATGAGGGCGACCTAGATATTAGCCAGCACTGACATAAATGTGTGGGATACCCCACCCATGGAGAGGTTGGGTGTCCTCTCACACCTGATACAGCTCAATTCATTTCCTGTTTGCTCAGTGAGATTCTCTGCCATGACACACAAACCCTGCTATTGGGCACCTCGAAAGCCCAAGATTTGGGAAGAGCTATAGCTCAGGGGCGGAGTATCACTGCTTGGAATGCAGAAGGTTGCTGGTTCAATCCCCCCTGGCTGCTAAGGTTACCAGATTTTTCTCAATGAATCTGGAGAGACTTTGATTAATTAATTAATTAATTAATTAAATACTACACGTTCAGGACATGGATGCTGCAGTGATGGCGGTGGCAGAGGGGCGGCCGTCACCTTGACCTCAACCGCCATGTTTCTCCGTCCTCTGAGGCTTCTATCTTCTTTTTCCATGAGCCTGGGCAGCCCCTGAGTTGTTGGTTCTTTGGTGGTGGTGGTGGGGAAGCGGTGCGCAGTGGGTCAGGCATGGAAGGCGGAGAAGGAGGACCAAGAGCGGTGGTGGTGAGGCTTGGGCAGCGCAATGCCTCCCTTCCCACTGGGGCAGCCCCAATCCCACTCCTACTTGGATGCAAGCAGGAGGAGGCGGGGATCCCTCAGCTGGGAAGCGAGGCTTCACACTGCCTAACTGAGAGATCCCTGCCCCCTCCTGCTTGCACGCATGTAGGAGTTGGGAGGCTGCTCCAATAGGCAGCATGAAGCCTCCCTTCACAGCTTAGTTGCTGGGGTCAGGGAAGGTGGAGACAGCCCGGAAACTGCATCTAAGAGCCCCTGCACCACCATCACATGGGGACTTCCAAGCAGCTCCTGAAGCCAGCCAGAGCCAACTGCTCCGGGCTGCTGAGACCATCTAGGTCGGCCATCACTGCTTGCTGTGGCAGCGAGTTGCATAGTTTAACTTTGTGCTGCATGAACATGGACTTTATTTTTCTGTCCCGAATCTTTCAACGTTCAGCTTCATCGGATGCCCACAATCGGAAACATAGCTCCTCAAGAGTCCACATTCACGTGGAGAAAGCATTGCACCCCACAGATATAGGTGCTCTGCAGATGTCCAGATAAACGTCCAAAGGTCAAAGGATGGAGCGTGCTTCCATGAGGTCACACAGTCTGCCCTTCAGTGAGCATGTACAGAAGGCCCATCAGGGTCTTCCTGTGTGTTTCAAGCTTGAACTTGACTGCCTCAGTCACTGTCAACAAGGGTAGGAAAATCTGAGAAACACAGATGCAGTTTGAATCTTCACTTGAAGGCTGAGATATCAAAATGAAAGTCAGCGTGTTTCATTTAGGACAGCATTCTGCATTGAAAAGATGAGCCAGTTTCACCCACAGGGCCATTTTTCCAGTTGTGGTGATTTCTTTGGGGGGTGCAACTGTGCAAAACACAACACATTGTGGTTTAGCTTCCTTTTAGAAAGGTTATGCTTTCATTCTCTCTCTCTCTCTCTCTCTCTCTCTCTCTTTCTCTCTCTCTCTCTGGTATGAAACCTCTCACAAGCGATTTCATACTTTCAAAGGTCAGCAACGAGAAGATCTATAGAAGACAATCTTGTGTATAAAAAGGTAAAGGTACCCCTGCCCGTACGGGCCAGTTGTGACCGACTCTAGGGTTGCGTGCTCATCTCGCTCTAGAGGCCATGAGCCGGCGCCATCCGAAGACACTTCCGGGTCACGTGGCCAGCGTGACGAAGCTGCAGCTGGCAAGCCAGCACCAGCGCAGCACATGGAAACACCATTTATCCTCCCGCTATAAAGCGGTCCCTATTTATCTACTTGCACTTTGAGGTGCTTTCGAACTGCTAGGTGGGCAGGAGCTGGGACCGAACGACGGGAGCTCACCCCGCCACGGGGATTCGAACCGCTGACCATATGATCAGCAAGTCCTAGGCACTGAGGTTTTACCCACAGTGCCACCCGCATCCCTAATCTTGTGTATAGAAACAATTAAAAACAATCTCATGCAGAAAAGCAGTGTTCACATATAAATATCGAAATGTATGAAAACATGTTCAAAACTGAATTCTCGCCCTGGTGTGGTTTCAAGAGGGTGAAGTCAGCCCGTGGGTTAAGGACAGGAGAATCAATTTCACTTTCTCTCATTTTCTCCTTAATCAGATCTTAAGTTCATTTCATTTGTTCACATTTTCATATCAGTTTCACATCAGTTTGTGATTTCAAAAAAAAAAAAAAATGCTCATGAAAATTCATCAATATTTTTAGTGCAAATTCCCCCTGGTATACACTTTATTTATTTATTTATTTATTTATTTATTTATTTATTTATTGAATTTATTTATCACTCTATACCCAGAGGTCTCGTGGGACACGGGTGGCGCTGTGGATTAAACCACAGAGCCTAGGACTTGCAGATCAGAAGGTCGGCGGTTCGAATCCCCGCAATGATGGGGTGAGTTCCCATTGCTCGGTCCCTGCTCCTGCCAACCTAGCAGTTCAAAAGCACATGAAAGGGCAAGTAGATAAATAGGTACCGCTCTGGCGGGAAGGTAAACGGTGTTTCCGTGCGCTGCTCTGGTTCGCCAGATGACCTGGAAGCTGTATGCCGGCTCCCTTGGCCAATAAAGCAAGATGAGCACCACAACCCCAGAGTCGTCTGCGACTGGACCTACCTTTACCTTTACCCAGAGGTCTCAGTGCTGTTTGTATTCTTGCTTTAAGCATGTAGGCAACTTAAACAGATTCGCCTTCCTAGATGGGATAGAGCCCACTCTGTTTGAACTGGTGCAGCTGGAGCATTTGGAATGGGGCGGTATACTCTCTCTCTCTCTCTCTCTCGCTCTCTCTCTCTCCTTAAAAAGAAAATACATATACCATTGTAATGGTTCTAAGGGTTGCTCGTGCATACACTTGTCCCAACCTCTGGCTGGGTTGCCTGAGTGAACCTTTTCTGTCCGGACAGCCACTCGCCCGTGACTGTCTCAATCACTGGCAGAATCCGTCAGTGGGCGTTTCTTAAACTTCTTCCAGCAAAGAAGCTCTTTGACGCCTAGTCTCCTCCTACTCTCTCTGCGCGGAAGCCTTCTGCGCAAGGAGGGCGTAGGCAGCGGAGGACCCTTCCTCTCCCCGCTGGTCCCCGGCAAGGAGTCATGGGACTGCCTCGCCGATTCCCCCATCTGCCCCCCTTCTCCACTGGAGCTACGTTGATTCTCTTCCCCAGAAGATGGGCTGCCTCTCCCACTCCCAGGACGCTCTCTGGGATCGCTTTGGAGCTTGCTCTCTCCCTCGGACACTGATGGCAGTTCCCTGACAACCATCCTCCACCCCCACTTCCTAACATCCAAGCAGGAATGAATTCTGCTGCAAACTCTCTCTGCTTAGGAGTGCCACACAGTTCATTGTTTGATATGGCTGCAAATTGGCAGATAAAGCATTGGGTGATTCTTAAATGCTGCACAGGGGAGTGAGGCTTCCCAGAGGTGGAAAAAAAGCATTGCTGTGGGTTGGACTGTCCTGACAGCCTCTGACATGGCTAGATTCAGCTCATGGGGTGTCTCTGTCCCAGTGCAGCCCAAGTTGGAGATGGCGTTTATGTGGTCCATGTTGCATAAGCATACAGAAAGGTTGTAAGTACAACAGCTTTCTAAACAAGCATTTTGGTTTCCCTGAGAATGAAGACAGGCCAGTGTACTGGTAGAAGCAAAGATCACCAGTGTCAACCGATGATTCTTCAACATCAACTTCGTTGGACTGGTCATGTTGTGCGGATGCCTGATGATCGTCTTGCAAAGCAACTACTCTACAGTGGTACCTCGGGTTAAGTACTTCCGGAGTACTTCTCGTTCCGGAGGTCCGTTCTTAACCTGAAACTGTTCTTAACCTGAAGCACCACTTTAGCTAATGAGGCTTCCTGCTGCTGTCACGCTGCCGGAGCATGATTTCTGTTCTCGTCCTGAAGCAGTATGTGGACCGAGAACTCCCAGAAGTGCAAGCTGGTTTTCGAAGGGGCAGAGGAACCAGAGACCAAATTGCAAACATGTGCTGGATTATGAAGAAAGCTAGAGAGTTCCAGAAAGACATCTACTTCTGCTTCATTGACTATGCAAAAGCCTTTGACTGTGTCGACCACAGCAAACTATGGCAAGTTCTTAAAGAAATGGGAGTGCCGGATCACCTCATCTGTCTCCTGAGAAATCTCTATGTGGGACAAGAAGCTACAGTTAGAACTGGATATGGAACAACTGATTGGTTCAAAATTGGGAAAGGAGTATGGCAAGGCTGTATATTGTCTCCCTGCTTATTTAACTTATATGCAGAATTCATCATGCGAAAGGCTGAGCTGGATGAATCCGAAGCCAGAATTAAGATTGCCGGAAGAAATATCAACAACCTCAGATATGCAGATGACACAACCTTGATGGCAGAAAGTGAGGAGGAATTAAAGAACCTTTTAATGAGGGTGAACGAGGAGAGCGCAAAATATGGTCTGAAGCTCAGCATCAAAAAAACGAAGATCATGGCCACTGGGCCCATCACCTCCTGGCAAATAGAAGGGGAAGAAATGGAGGCAGTGAGAGATTTTACTTTCTTGGGCTCCATGATCACTGCAGATGGTGAGAGCAGCAAAGAAATTAAAAGACGCCTGCTTTTTGGGAGAAAAGCAATGACAAACCTAGACAGCATCCGAAAAAGCAGAGACATCACCTTGTCAACAAAGGTCTGTATAGTAAAAGCTATGGTTTTCCCAGTAGTGATGTATGGAAGCGAGAGCTGGACCATAAAGAAGGCTGATTGCCGAAGAATTGATGCTTTTGAATTCTGGTGCTGGAGGAGACTCTTGAGAGTCCCATGGACTGCAGGAAGATCTAACCTATCCATTCTTAAGGAAATCAGCCCTGAGTGCTCACTGGAAGGACAGATCGTGAAGCTGAAGCTCCAAGACTTTGACCACCTCATGAGAAGAGAAGACTCCCTGGAAAAGACCCGGATGTTGGGAAAGATGGAGGGCAGAAGGAGAAGGGGACGACAGAGGATGAGAAAGGGTTGGACAGTGTTCTCGAAGCTACCAGCATGAGTTTGACCAAACTGCGGGAGGCAGTGGAAGACAGTGGAAGTGCCTGGCATGCTCTGGTCCAGGGGTCACGAAGAGGCAGACACGACTAAACAATTAAACAACAACAATGACACCCCCCCTCCAAAAAAACCTGCCAGTATTCTGGTGGCACTTAGCTCCACGTTCAGGGAAAACAAGCAATCTCTCGGTTTCGTCACTCGGGGTCCCACATGCTGGAAGGCCTTTTGCAAGTCAGGGAGAAACTACCAGCTTCCTTGATCAGAAAGATCATGCAAGACTCTGAGGGTAATCCCAGGACAACCAGATCCTGCGTGTCACATTCAGAGGCCGAGGGTGGCCAAGGGACCCAAACAGGAAAACACCTCTCTTGCCCAATCTCTTGGCTTCTCTGCTGTGTGTGAAGCCTTGACCAGGCATTTCCCCCTCTGCTTTCAAAGGTTTTGTTTTTCCCCTTTCTATTTCATGTGCAATGCTTTGAACTTGTGAGTCTCGAGCCTTAAGAGGGGTGTTGTGCTGTAGTGGTTAGAGTGTCATACTAGCGCCTGAGAGAGACCAGGGTTCAGGAACCAGCTGTCTGACCTGCACATTCGCTCCATCCCAGTGGATCTTGCCCTAGGATTGCTCCCTTATTGAATTGCCTGGAAAGGTCAGTGGCAGCGGGATATTCAGAATTACATTAGCTGCAAGAAGGATGCTTTGTTGCAACACGGAGTAGCTAACACACTCCCTATTTGAGAATATTTTGCAGCTCTCAGCAGATTGACATCACCTTAGAGAAGAAAAACCAAGGTGCGCAGGTTTTGTGGTGAGATGGAAAAACTTCACTGCGTGTTGCCAAAAACAGACGGTCGTTACCCAACGAAAGCTACCCATTCAAAACGCATCGAGATCCTGGGAATGTAAAAAAGTAAAGAACTTCTGGGAAATGATATATAATGAGATGAAAAAGATGTTGAAGCATACATTTTTTAAAAAAACCAGAAGCATTTTTACTTGGTATTATAGGTCAGGACATTAATAGGCAAGATGTTAAATTGTTTTTATATGCAACAACTGCGGCAAGAGTATTGTCAGCCCAGAAATGGAAACTAGAAGAAATTCCGACAAAAGAAGAATGGCAGACAAAATTAATGGACTATGCAGAATTGGACAAAATGACAGGAAGGATTCGAAACCTGCAGGACCAGAGATTTACAGAAGATTGGAAGAAGTATATGAATTATTTGAAGAGCAACTGTAATCAACAAATTACGCTAGTAGGACTACAAGAAGTTTTGTAAGGAGAAATATACAAAGTGTTACAAAGTAAAAAAGATAGAGATATTGGTTATGAGTTTGAAATGTAATAGGGAAGATAAGAAATGCATACTGAGAGATTAGATTGGAAAATTTTCAGACAGGATTGATGGAAGTCAAAAATTTGAATAAGATGTAAAAGTATGTTTAATTACTGTTGAAAATGATATGTTAAAAAAAACTAATTAAAAATTATTTATATAGATAGATGATAGATGATAGATAGATAGATAGATAGATAGATAGAAAACAAAATGCATCAAGATCCGACGGAAACATTATAATTCAGCAACTATTGTGTCTTCAACAGGACAACACCGTTCTCCTTATGAGTATGGGGTGATTTGTCTGAGTCGGTGACATTTTGCAACTGATGGCGACCTTTGATAAAAACTATGCTGTATCAAGCATGTTCATAAGTAAAGGAAAAAGTGGGTAGCTGAAAGATCTAGACGCCCAGCATGGAAGAGGCTGTGGCTTTCAGCAGCCATGGGGTTCTGCCAGGCCAGTGGAGCTCAGGTACTACTACTACTACTAAATTATTATTTATACCCCACCCATCTGGCTGGGTTTCCCCAGCCACTCTGGGCAGCTTCCAACAAAATATTAAAAACACGATAAAACATCACATATTAAAAACTTCCCTAAACAGGGCTGCCTTCAGGTGTCTTCTAAAAGTCAGATAGTTCTTTATTTCCTTGACATCTGATGGGAGGGCGTTCCACAGGGAGGGCGCCACCACCAAGAAGGCCCTCTGCCTGGTTCCCTGTAACCTCACTTCTCGCAATGAGGGAACCGCCAGAAGGCCCTTGGAGTTGGACCTCAGTGTTCGGGCTGAGCAATGGGGGTGGAGATGCTCCTTCAGGTATAATGGGCCAGGGCCATTTAGGGCTTTAAAGGTCAGCACCAACACTTTGAATTGTGCTCAAAAACATACTGGGAGCCAATGTAGGTCTTTCAAGACCGATGTTATGTGGTCTCAGCGGCCACTCCCAGACACCATGCTGGGAATGTAAAGAAATGGAAAGTACATTTTACCATATGTGATAGACTTGTAGAGTAGCTAAGGAATTTTGGGAGATGATACATAATGAGTTGGGGAGGGGGATATTTAAGACGACAATCCCAAAGAGACCTGAAAGCTTTTCTTTTAGGGATAACTGGGTCAGACGTACCAAAGAATCAAATGAACTTATTTCTGTATGCAACTGCTGCAGCGCAAGTATTAGGTAAAAGTAAAGGGTAAGGGGACCCCTGACCGTTAGGTCCAGTCGCAGATGACTCTGGGGTTGCGGCGCTCATCTCGCTTTACTGGCTGAGGGAGCCGGCGTACAGCTTCCAGTTCCTGTGGCCAGCATGACTACCAGAGCAAATTTCCTCTGACCATGGAGCATCATGGCTGGGAATCAACTAGGAATCAACCCTGCCTGAGCAGGGCAAGAAAATCCAGTGAGTTGAGGGCCACACAGGTGATTTTTTTCTTGGGCAGACGAAAGTCTGCAAAGGAAAGGGTTAAACCACTCCTTGACCTCACTGGGTTCCTCCTGAGATCACACGCAGCTGCTTCATTATATGACCAAAGTAGTTTTACTGTCGTTTCAAAAATAGCAATCGGTCTTTAAATCGGCGGCTTTAAGAACTGTGTATTTTTGACATACATGTGTCATTCTGGGGGGACCAAGAAGCAGAGTATGCTTTTAAAATAATAATGATAGTAATAGTAATAATAATAACCTTTCATGAACACTTTGTTATTGTCATTATTTCTTTCCCGTTTTTGTTACTTGATGTCAAACAATTCAAAGAGAAGGAAGAAATCATAATAGTAAAAGAACAAAAAACAAACAATCCACTAGATGAAATAATATTTGGGTGGAATTTGTCATCTGTGTGACTGTATTGTTATTATTTTGATTTATTAATCACTTTCCACCAAAGCCTCAAGGGCATCACGCAATTAAAAACAATCAAACATAGATTTTTAAACAATGGAAGGAACATGTGAATATAGGTTTTAGATCAGTACAACGCAGTTATATGCAAACAGCATATACGCCTCCAGCACACGAACCAGCCATGCCCTCGCCTGCTCTCTGCTCCCGGGGCTGGAGCACGCAGCTTCTCCGCTGCTTGCATGTGATGGACCTTCAGATATTTGAAAATTGCAATCCTATCTCCTCTTAATCTCCTCTTACTCAGGCTGTTGTTGTTGTTTAGTTGTGTCCGCCTCTTCGTGACCCCCTGGACCAGAGCACACCAGGCACTCCTGTCTTCCACTGCCTCCCGCAGTTTGGTCAAACTCATGCTGGTAGCTTCGAGAACACTGTCCCACCATCTCGTCCTCTGCCATCCCCTTCTTCTTGCGCCCTCCATCTTTCCCAACATCAGGGTCTTTTCCAGGGAGTCTTCTCTTCTCATGAGGTGGCCAAAGTATTGGAGCCTCAGCTTCAGGATCTGTCCTTCCAGTGAGCACTCAGGGCTGATTTCCTTCAGAATGGCGAGGTTGGATCTTTTTGCAGTCCATGGGCCTCTCAAGAGTCTCCTCCAGCACCATAATTCTTGATGGTCCAGCTCTCACTTCCATACATCACTACTGGGAAAACCATAGCTTTAACTATACGGGTTTGATCTTGCAGTCCATGGTACTCTCAAGAGTCTCCTCCAGCACCATACGCAATTCCCTCAACCCCTGACAGGTGGCCGGCCAACCTCTGCTTAAAAACCTCCAATGAAAGAGAGCCCACCACCTTCTGAGGGAGTCCGTTCTACTGACAAACATCTCTTGTCATCCGAATGGTTTTCTAATGCACCTTTTTTCCAGTTGATTAAAAGCTTTTCAGCCAAACTAACAGGTTAATCAATCAAAGCTTTTGTGGAATCGGCAACAGCAATGATCTCCTGCTGACTTGGGCAGGCCAGCCTCCTGTTAAAGGAGAACGTGCAGGAGTTGATCCTTTTGTTGGCACTCCAATTTTCATAGAAGCATAGAATTGTAGAGTTGGAAGGGAACCTGGGGGGCATCTAGTCCAGCCCCCTGCAATGCATCCATGCTAGGAGACTTAGATGGGCCGTTGCACAGAAGACAGAGCAAGATTGTCTCTCCTGCTCTGGAGGGTAGGACTCGAACCAATGGCTTCAAATTTTTGTTTTGTTTTCTGTTTTGTTTATAAAGCCACTTCCGCCCTGCAGAGGAGGTGGGATTGCAGGCATTACGGCCCCACGACGCATGCGGTGGCTGGAGCCCAGCCCCTGCACGATTGGGGGAATCCCCAGCCACGTCACCCCCTGGCCAGCCAATCGGCTGGCTTTGGGGGTGTGGCCTGCCTTATTTAAACAGGATGTGGCCAGGGATCTCCCTCTTTTCCGCCTGCCAGCTGTTCCTGTTTTTCCCACCCTCCCATCCTATAAGGTTTCCGTTCCTTGACCTTGCTATGGACCTTGCTTGGTCACCGTTGAGGGGCCTGATAGGAATTTTTCCACTTGGCAAATTGGCACCAGCCACTTGGTTTTCGCCTACCTCATAGCAAATCGTCACAACTTTCTTGGTATTGGTATTGCTCTGTAGTTGGAAGAGGGGAGGAAGCGCCATCACCTGCCCCCCATATTGAAGGGTCGTCCGGTAAAGGATTCCGGGGGGGCGTGGCCCTATCCAAAGCCTAGGGAGGTGAGGGCCTAAGGCACGCCCCCTATTGCTAACCCCGGGGGAGTTCCTAGTTGATGGGCATCAGCAGGACTCCCCCTACTGGTGGTTAACCCTTCCCGGACTTCAAGCGGACGGTTAGGTCCAATGCCTAAGCCAATACCGCTCATCACCTGTAACCAATAAAGTTGTGGCCTTAATTAGCCCATTAACCTTAATAACTGTGTCATGCGTCTTTATTTCCACTGGGGGGGGCAGGAACTTGCCACACAAATGCTTTATTGGTTGAAAATTGCAAAACATAGGATGATCAATTAATGTTAAACACAAAATAAAAATAAAAGTATACAATCTTTCATTCCTTAATTGATACTTGGTTTGTACATCGTTTTGTAATTCGATTTAACTTGACCTAAAATTATTTAAATACGCACTTGTAAAATGCAATTTGAAAACAATTAAGGTATAAAAATGACAAGAATATCACCATATTTAACTTAGAGATTGCAATATCAAGGTAGAATAAAACAAGCAGGGGAGTAAATATTCAAAGAACCAGAAGAGGAAGTTGAGGGAAGTTGTGGGGGGTGGGGGTGGGATTTAGGTTCTTTTCTGCCTTTGAGATAATATTGATAGTGATGATTGTAAAATTCTAAAATTTAATAAAAATTATTTAGAAAAAATTAATAATTAATGGGTAAGTAGAATCCGGCCAAATGCAACCCTACCTAGCAACTCACAGAATCATAGAATCATAGAGTTGGAAGAGACCACAAGGGCCATCGAGTCCAACCCCCTGCCAAGCAGGAAACACCATCAGAGCGCTCCTGACATATGGTTGTCAAGCCTCTGCTTAAAGACCTCCAAAGAAGGAGACTCCACCACACTCCTTGGCAGCAAATTCCACTGTCGAACAGCTCTTACTGTCAGGAAGTTCTTCCTAATGTTTAGGTGGAATCTTCTTTCTTGTAGTTTGGATCCATTGCTCCGTGTCCGCTTCTCTGGAGCAGCAGAAAACAACCTTTCTCCCTCCTCTATGTGAGGAATATATCCTTTTATATATTTGAACATGGCTATCATATCACCCCTTAACCTCCTCTTCTCCAGGCTAAACATGCCCAGCTCTCTTAGCCGTTCCTCATAAGGCATCGTTTCCAGGCCTTTGACCATTTTGGTTGCCCTCCTCTGGACACGTTCCAGTTTGTCAGTGTCCTTCTTGAACTGTGGTGCCCAGAACTGGACACAGTACTCTAGCTGAGGTCTGACCAGAGCAGAATACAGTGGCACTATTACTTCCCTTGATCTAGATGCTATACTCCTATTGATGCAGCCCAGAATTGCATTGGCTTTTTTAGCTGCCGCGTCACACTGTTGGCTCATGTCAAGTTTGTGGTCAACCAAGACTCCTAGATCCTTTTCACATTTACTGCTCTCAAGCCAGGTGTCACCCATCTTGTATTTGTGCCTCTCAATTTTTTTGCCCAACTCTTGGAAGAACTAATAAGCCGTAAAGATATGGGAGGCTCTTTTGTCGAAAAAGGACCCAAATGGCCCAGGAGAAAGCAGAACAGAACTTGCCCCCTCCTCTCCCCGGCCTCCTCCTTCTTCCTTTCGGGAGAGCTATTCTGAGCCCCTCATAGAGGCTCGCTTTGCATGTCAGTTATGCTATTTCTGAATCTGTTTATTTTTATTTTTCTTCCGGTGACCAGAACCCCATCGCTGGCTCTCGCTTCGCTCCTTTCTACTTCCTCTCACTTTCTAGCTCTGAAGCTTCCCCCGCTGCACAGCTGCCTCTCTTTCTCTGCAATAAACTAAAATTTTAAATTTTTTAAAAAGGTCGGGTGCTGATTATTATATTTTTAGTTCATTTTCTAAAATATGTTTGTGTGTGTGTGTGTGTGTGTGTGTAGCTAATAAGGGACACCAGTGGCTTGATTTGTGTTGGCGGTAATGTTTTGTTTTGTTTTATTTTTAAAAGAATAATAATAATAGAAAGATAAAATAACCACTAAGGAAAATTAGCAGCAATAATTTGAGACTTTGAAAAAATAATAACTACAATAGACTTCCTAAGCATCTAGGAAGGCTTGTCCAAACAAGTATGTTTTTAGCAAGTTCTGAAAAGCATATAGGGAAGTCACCTGTCTGAGTTCCAAAGTGTAGATTTTGTCACACTAACAGGTTGAGTTCTTATAAATGCAGAATGAAGTAGTCGAGTGGTCATATATTGGATAAGGCAATCTCGCAAGTAAACTGCCTTTCTTTCGTGGCTGAGGAAAACCCCTGTGTTGCAATACAGAAGAATCTGAAAGCAACACGTGGCTAAAAATGTATTACCAATCATTTGATCATGCTATAAAATGTACAAATCATAAACATCCACATATGAGACATGCATAGTTATGCAAAAATTCATTGGAAAGAAATACTAAGCGTAATCAATCGCTATCAGGGAGCAAGATGCCTTTCAATAGTCAATATCCAGCAATATTGCAGTGGTAGGTCCTCAAAACCTAGGAATAATGTACAGTGGTACCTCAGGTTAAGTACTTAATTCGTTCCGGAGGTCCGTTCTTAACCTGAAACTGTTCTTAACCTGAAGCACCACTTTAGCTAATGGGGCCTCCTGCTGCTGCCGCGCCGCCGGAGCACAATTTCTGTTCTCATCCTGAAGCAAAGTTCTTAACCCAAGGTACTATTTCTGGGTTAGCAGAGTCTGTAACCTGAAGTGTATGTAACCCAAGGTACCACTGTATTCGAAGCGCTGTAGGATGCAGCAGTAAACAGCAAACAGAACAGAACAGTTTTTCAAGGATTAGTAAACTTGTGAGTACTGATCCATAGTCATTATTTGTACCTGAGAGGACAATTTATTTGGAATTTATGAAGAATCATACTTGAAACCCGATTTACTGA